CAGCTGGGGAGGGGTCAGGAGGAGGAAGCGTGGGACCGTAGACAAGAGGAGAGGGAGAGGAGGGAGGAGAGAGAGAGGGGAGACCGAGGGCCCGAAGGCCAGAGACAGGAGGCGGAGGTGGCGGCCGCTGCTGCTGCTACGGCGGCTGCTGCAGCTGCTCCTGCTGCGGCGGCTACTGCTCCTGCTACGGCTCCTTCTGCTGCGGATGCTCCTCCAACTGCGGCTCGTACTCCTGCTCCTGCTGCTACGGCTGTCGCTGCGGCTGCTACTCCTGCTCCGGCTGCAACCGCTGCTCTTGCTGTTGCTCCTCCAGCCGCTGTAGCTCCAGCTGCTGCCACTCCAACTCTCGCTCCTCTTGCTCCAACTCCAGCTGCTCCTCACGGGCACGGCTAACATGGGTCTGGTGCCGGGTCGGGTAGGGGTGGTGGGGAGGAGTAGTGTCCGGGGCGGTGGTAGCCCCAGGACCGCTCTCCAAAGCACCAGTCGCACCACCCCCAGAGCCAGCACCACCAGCAGCAACACGACCAGTCCCAAACTCTCCAGGTCCTGCAGTGGGTGCACCCGCACCCCCAGTCGTAGCACCCCCATGGACAGCTCGACCAACACCAGCTCCCCGAACCTCCTACAGACACGGGCTCAGCTCCAACTCCAACACCGTCAAAGGTAGCACCCCCAAGGTCCTCGACACGAGCACCTGCTCCCGCAGGGTCTGCAGTAGGCTGGGAGGAGGACTGTGGGGAAGGGGACGGTACCTGAGGGGCGACCGAGGGGGGGGGGGGGGGGGGGTAGCGTGTGTCACACCTGACGGGGCTGGACCATTGGGGGGGGGGCTGTACCGGGGGGGCAGGAGGGGGGGCGGGAGTCAGGAAGAGAGGGGGAGGAGGAACCGAAAGACCTCGATAGGGGTACCGGGTGTAGTAGGGGACGGACTCGACAAAACGAATGTCATGGGAGTCAAAGAACCTGTGAAAGGGAGGGTGGTAAAAGGTGAAGCCAGAGGAGTCCTCGGGGAAACCAAGGAAGACACAGGGAAGGGCGCGAGGGGAGAGCTTATCCGCGGAGGTGTCGCGAACAAGTGCCAAGCAGCCCCAGACACGAAAACGCGACGCAACACCAGAGGACCCGGTCCAAAGACTGGTCGGTGAAGCCTATGGCCGAGAGACACGTGGCCAGAGGTTCAGCTGGTGAGCAGCGTGCCGAACCGCGTTGGGCCACAGAAAATGGGGCGCACGGACGTGAATCATGGAGGTGCGTGCAATCTCCATGACCAAGCCTATGCGGCGCTCAACAACCCCATTCTGCTGTGGGGACTCTGGAAGCGTCCAGGACTGACGGATGCCCTTCTCGTGATAGAATCCGGCGAGAATACCGGAGCGAAACTCACCCCCACGGTAGGAGTGAAGACAGCTGACACGACGACCACGAGTGTCCGCAGTGGTAAGTAACCACCGGATCAGCGTAGAAGTCACCTCAAACTTCTTCGCCAGGGGGAACACTGTGGTGTAGCGAGAGTAGTCGTCAATGACCAACAGAAAAAAACTCTCTTGCTCAGGGCCAGGGCGAGGGGCGGGGCCCCAGACGTCCAAGTGGAGAGTCTCAAAGGGCTCGGTGGCTGGGCGAAGGGAGGAGGAGTGAGGGGTGGCGCGCAGCCGACCCTCGACGCAGGGACTGCAAGGTGGTGCAAGCGAAGGCGGCAGCGACGGCAAGACTCGCGGGAGGCCTAAGACAAGACGCTGACTAGACATAGCGCGCAGGCGAGGAATGGACGGGTGCCCCATCCGGTGGTGCCACAGAACGGTGGGGTGGGCAAGTGACCGGCAGGAGCAAGACGCAGCAACTGGACCAGATACGGGAACCTGACCAGACACAACTACCTGGTGAGAAGCGGCAACCTGGTGAGAGGGGGGGACCTGACGGGGGGTAGTGACAGTGGTCGGGGGCAGTAGCTGCTGCTGCTGCCGCGGCTGCTGCTGCTGCTGCTGCTGCTGTTGCTGCTGCCGAGGGCCAGTGTGAAGTGTGTAGAGACCAGAGCCCGACTCAGCGGTAAAGGTGGCCAGAGGCGCGTACGTGTCCCCGTCGACACAAACCGCAGTCTCGCCATAAGGCTCAATCCACACACCCACGTGCTGGCTCACGAGCGGCCTCACGCCCACCAAGTTCCTTGAGAACGAGGGGACGTGGAAGCCGGTTAGAGAACCGGAGGGAACAGCCGGGCACGGAAGCGTAGTAGTGTAGCGAGCAGTGACTGGTCCCGAAGTGGGATCAGCCAGTGCCACAGAGACCGGCGCAGGAAGCGGAGTAAGCGTCGTGTGGTCGCGCAAGAAACTTTGCGAAGCTCCTGAGTCCAGAGTGAAAGACAGCGAAGTGTCCTCCGGAGCAGCTCCTGGACTAGTGTCTACACAAGTACCTATGCTAGCCACAGGCACCTCAGCAACACTAGCACCTAAGCTAACAACACTCGAGAAAACAGAGTCAGAAGCACTAGAATCAAAAACAGTATACATAGCATGAGGAGTTCCTAAGAGATCAAGCAACTGAGAAGCCGACATGCCCCACAGATCGGGGCCGTACAACTGAACAAGGGGAAGCCAGTCAGGGGCAGGGCCGTCAATGCCGTAGGCCGCACGAAGTGTGTCAGTGAGCTGAGCAAAGCACTGACCCGGTGGGTGGGTGCGGCCACAGGGGAGGCCTCGGCGAGCACCTGTTTGAACGAGGTAGGTGCAGGGAGGGTGGACGGCGCCACACGACAGCTGATGCGGTCCTGACCCCTGCCCCGGAGCCTACAGCTGCCACTGCTGCTGCTACTGCTGCTGCTGCTGCTGCTGCTGCTGCTGCCGCTGAGTCAGGTACCAAGCCGCCACTCCAGCACCTGTAGCTGGCAGACCAGCAGGTGCCTGACGTCACCTCCACCAGCTGCAGTAGAGGAGCCACTAGCCACTGCACGAGGCGCTCCTCCAGCCTCTGTACTGCTGCCACCGCCGCTCGCCACGCCACCTCCGCTGCCTCCGCCGCCTGCGCCTGCACCCTGACCGCCCCTCCTGCCACTCCTACCCCTAGACCGCGAAGAAGTCGTAACAGCAGCTGCGGTCACGTCAGTAGCGGCAGTGGCGAGTTAGGTAGTAAAGGTGGCCAGCTGAGGGACAGTGCACCCGCGAAACAGTGGAGGGGGCACAGCACCAGAGGCGGAGGCTACCGAGCGGAGGTTGCTCTCGACGTCCTTGAGGGCAAACTCAAGGACCTCGATAGTGAGCTCGCTAGGGTGCTTCAGAAGAAGCGCGTCACGAACCGAGGCAAGGTGGTCAGGGAGACTAATGGCGATGAAATAGATCGAAATCGCCATAAGGGGAGGGAGCAGTGCAAGTTGCGCGTCAGTGCAGGCAGAGCGGTAGCTAGAATCTAGCGAGCGCAGGTGAGCGATCAAGTCAGCAGAGGGCTCAAACGAGGCGAGGTCAGGAAACAGGAACGGGAGGAAAAGTCGACCAAGAGAGATAGTGGTGGGAGTAGCGTAGCGGGCCTTGATCGCAGTCAGGAACTCACTAGCGGTGGGAACCTGAGTAAAGTGGACCTCCTCAGACTCGGGGAGGAGGCTGCTAAGGGCGATGCAGGCCGCAGCGTCACGCGACTTCCATGCTGTCAAGTCGGCACGCTGGCGTGCATAATGGTCTCTGTCTGCAGTGCTAGCGTCAGCGCCTAAGGGTGCAGGGGCGGGGGGCGCAGGAAGGTCACCGGAAGTGTGCGCCCACAAAGACTCGGCTGCCTGAACCTGACTCTCTAGGAGGCGGCGCACACGCTGGAGCCAGACCGAGAACTCGAGTGGCCTACCCTCGGCGTCAAAGCGCAGGACCCTAGGGGTCGCCATAGCGGAAGTGAAGAGAGGTCGGAACTGCTGCTGCCGAAACCCTAAACGCGTAAAGGGCATAAGGAGGGCGTGACAGGCAGTGGGTGAGGCTCAAGGCACTGCAGGACGCTAGGGTAGGGCGCCACGAGGCGCTACGCGGCAGGCAGGACGGGACGCGCGCGGCTCGGCGCCGCGCGGCAGGCAATACGGGAGCCGCGCGGCAGGCAGAACGGGACGGGCGCGGCGTGGCACTGCGGGACGGGCAGGCACGGCGCACGCGACGGGACAGACGGGACGGACGCGTCGAGCTAGACGGGACGGGACAAACGCGACGCGACGGGACGACGGGACGGGACGGGACGAGCGCGACACGACGGGACGACAGGACGGGACGACGGGACGGGACGGGACGCGACGCGACGGGATGGGCGCTACGGGCGCTTCAGGCGCTACGGGCGCTGCGAGCGCTACGGGCGTCGGGCGCGGTAGGCTAGGCGCAACGGGAGCTAGGGAACGAGACGAACCGGCGTGAGAGGCGCTAGGGGACGATACGGGCGTAACGGGCGCTAGGGTACGAGACGAACCGGCATGACAGGCGCCAGGGGACGATACGGGCGTAACAGGCGCTAGGGTACGAGACGAACCGGCGTGACAGGTGCTAGGAGACGGTACGGGAGGAACGGGGTCCCACAGGATCCTAACCTAGGTGATACCATATCAAGAACGGAATGGTGATGTTCACTAAGAGCGTATTCCTATCCTCGCATATACGAGGATAGAAATACGCTCTAAGGTTGGTTGGGGTACATAAACCTAACCCTAACAGTTGTACCCCATATGACACACATCACTAAGACTATAACATCTGACAAATATGGTGTACCAGTACCGTTGTAGTTACTGGCGCATCTCAACAAATATGGTTAGCATACGATAGTGCTGTAGGTCAATAAATACAGAGATTTTTGCACTAATTCACTAATTACAGTACTATCCTTGGATCGGATTAAATAACTTAAACCTACCAGTACACCGAATGTAGGCACAAGGAATGCACACGATAGATAAACTTGCAGCTTCAGTAACATGCTGGACAAGGCAGCACTGGTTAGAGGCAAGCGCTCGCATTTCACTTTCGTGGTGGCAGGTGGCAAGCGGGCCGTCACTTGTTGGCCTCAATCCACTTGAGAATGTCCTTCTCGTTGTCCGTCAGCTTGTCCTCCCTCTTCACCTGCAGTGTGCCCTGTGTCCCACATGATGCACGGCGATGGGTGGGGCATGGGGAGAGGAGGATGGGAAGGCAGGGAGAATAGCATGTGTATGGACGTGAGGTAACAAAGAGGGCAAGAGAGAGGGGGAAGAGAGAGTGCAGAGTGGTGCAGCACGGATTGGAGCGAGGCAGCAAGCAGTGGTGCAGAAGCCACAGAGGTCCATTGCAAGTGAACCCCTTGCAATCAGTCCATGCTTGCATGCCTGCTGCACCAGCCGCCCCACTGGTGCCATGGGCAGGGCGCTGCATGGGGCATGAGGGCGCTGCATGGGGCATGAGCGCACTGCATGGGGCATGAGCGCACTGCATGGGGCATGAGCGCGCTGCATGGGGCATGAGCGCACTGCATGGGGCATGAGCGCACTGCATGGGGCATGAGCGCACTGCATGGGGCATGAGCGCACTGCATGGGGCATGAGCGCACTGCATGGGGCATGAGCGCACTGCATGGGGCATGAGCGCACTGCATGGGGCATGAGCGCACTGCATGACCATGGCTCTCATTCCCTCCCACCACATCCCTTCCCTGGCTCCCTCCCCCTTCCATCCCCTTCCTCTCCCTCCCTCTCCCGCCCCCACTCTATATGCCCATTCTTCCCACAGTCCATCACTCGATTCCCCCCATCATTCCTTCCCCCCATCCCTCCCGCCCACGCACGCCCTGCCCCCCTGGGCCCGCAGCGCACCCCAACAAAGTCGAAGTAGTCCTTGAAGTTGCGCCGGTAGTAGTCGTTCAGCCGCTGCACACACACACGCGCACATGCCATGGCACCACGGTACGGTCAGAGGGGAAACGCAACGCAGCGCGATGGCGGCACAGTGGGAGGGCGCGGCGGCAGCATAGGCATGGCACGGCCAGCATGCCGCGCGTAAAGAAACGCCGGTACGGGAAGCGGAAGGGACACCATGGGTGCGGCATGTGTAGCAGGCCGTGAGTGCGGCGTGGGAGAGGGTGCAGGCGGCGGGCAGGGGATGCATTGCGACAAGGCAAGGAGGCGGGGTGGTACCTCCTCGTCGTACTTGGCCTTGTTGGCCCGCGACCTCTCCAGCAGCTCTGCGCATCATGCCACGCCACGACACACGGGCACGAATACAGGAGGGTGGGGAGGACGCAGGAGGCGCACGGCACGATGGAGAGCATGTGAGAGCATGTGAGAGGACGCGGACTTACACGGGAGAGGCGACGCGGAGGGGAATAGGGGAGAGAGGGCATGCATTCACGTGCAGATTAACAGGCAATGGTGGGGTCGGGGAGCGACACGGACGGAGTGACGCATGCAGCGAGGCGAGCGGCGGGCGGGCGTGCCTTGAACGAAAGGGATGTCACCGGGCGGCGGTGCTGTCGCCACGGTCGCAGGTTTGTCGCCGTCAGCTGCGACGGCCGCGCCGATCGGCCCCGCTGCCGCTAGCGCTACGGGCAGCGCAGACACAAACAGCATCTCGCGTCGGCTGACGTGTCGCCGCCTCATGGGTTCGTCCTCGCGCTGGGACGCGCAGCGCACGGCGATTCGCGTCAGCTGCGGAGAAGGTGAAGGTGAAAAGCGAATGGGAGGGCGCGGCGAAGCGAGGAACGTCATGGTGGATGCAGAGCAAGGGATGACGGCAGACGCCATGGCGGATCACAGGTGTTGGGGAGCACGACTCTGCTTTCCTCCGCGCACACAACTGATCTGGACTTGTCCACTCCACACTGCCTCGTGTGAACTGGGGCTTGGCTCCGTCAGGGTGTGGTACATTTCCGCTTAGGCGAGAATTGGGAGGAATTGCTCTTCATCCACTTTATTTCGTTACCAGTTAACGAATGTCGCTCTCACCTCGCTCCTCTTTCGCTCAATCGCCTTCTTGTCAATAGCACATAACAAAGGAATTGGAGTGTTATGAGTTTTACTAGACAGAGTGCGCGGAAGACTTCTATAAAGAGAATGAATTACAGAATGATCAAGAATGATAAAGGAGCACGCATTTATAGGGTCGAAATCGTGCTAGGCGAGGACCTCGGGACGTGGATGGGTTGGATGTGTCGCGATTGGTGCGGGGCGACTCGGCATTGGTTCGGTGCGGAAGTGTAGGCCGAGCCACCTGAGGCGATGTGCTCGGGCTGTATCCGTTAAGGCAAGGCTACGGTAAGGAATTGGAAAATTCCTTATACTCTCCCACCTTCTAGATAAGGTCCCCTTATCTGTAATCAAGTCTTGCAGTAGCGTGAAAACTCAAGATCTCGGTCGAAACTGATCTGACGGTGCAGAATGCGTTGACCGCTGAGTTGACGCGAGGCTGAGCGCGTTGACCTGGCGAAATTCAAAGAGTTGGAATGTCAGTCGTTGATACTGCCAATGTCGATCGGGCGGTTGAAAGTGAATGTCGAGTTGAAATTCTTCGATGAATGAAAACCGTCGATGTGGCGGATCTGTGTCGGACGGTCAAGATGAATTCGCTAGTGGCGGGAATTCTGACACGTTGTCAGAGGCCGATGAATCGGTACCCGTCGATGTCGATAATTTAATCGCGAGCGTCCGCCGTGCTGGATGTGTCAGACAGAACTGTCAGAAAAACTGACAAGTACAGTGCGAGAGCATTCTCTCCCCCCCTTCGAAAAAGGACTGCCACTCCAAAATCTCCGCGTGGTAGCATCGAATCACCCTGCTGCTGCAGTATCTCCAGTTGTCTTCAGCTACAAGCCGGACTGCTGTCTTTTTGTCTTGTTGCTGTGGCAAAATCCTCGCTGTCACTGCTCCAGCTGTCGGCGCCCCCAGCAGTCTTGTCCAGACTCGCCGAGGCTTTTGTCGATATTCGCCGAAAAGTACACCCTCTTTTTCACCTCTCTCACCGGCGGAAGCACTGGCTACAGTGTTTGGACGTAGCGGGCTGGTGAGATAAGTCGGTTGCGGGCAAAGTCGCACGAGGGTTTGAAACACGCCTTGGGCCGTAAAAAACCATTAACGTTGAATAACCGTCCTGACCGCTTTGAAAACAACAGTACAATTGTAGAACGTAGAAAACCTTGACTAAACGCCCTGTGTCAAATTGTCACTGTAACGCATGTGATAGGACCTTCTTTGGTCCGGTGTGGCTACACTAAGCGTCTCGGTCAGTATAACATATGCCAGTCTATCGAGAATGAGGGTGTACCGGGCATAGGCGAAAAACAGCTGCTGCTCTTCCCCCTGAACCCCGAAATATTTTTTCAAAGCCGAACTTGAACTTCCGATGACGTCAGCTACCTCGGCGACGTTGTCGTGACTCGCCGAAAACTTCGGGGCAGAGGCGAAAAGGCTGTCGCTTTTTCCCCCCACCTGTTGAAAAATTCCCCCTCGTGTTGCGGCTGGTACCCCCGGGCAGCTTCCGATTTGTACGACTACACATTTGACGACGAGTGCCTTCGCGCGCTTAATCAAGCGACGCTGCAGTCGACCGTCGGCACGGATACTGTCAGCGACCCCGCTGACTCCGTTAAGACTCTTTTCGGAACTGCTCGTTGCACCCGTAAATGTCGGAAATAACCACACCACGTAAAATCTTGGTCGCCTGCAGGTTGTCCCCCGAAAGAACCGGTGTTTCTAGCGTGCCCACCCGTCGCCACTCTCATCGCCTGTAGTTAACCACACTAGCAACCCACCAAAAAGGAGGCGCTTTTCCATGTGGAACCCAGAACTGTGGGTCTACCGGGACCGAATTTCACGGAACCTAGCCGCATCGACGCCGCAGATCTCGCTGTAGGATTTCCCCAGATGGCCGCGAAGTATACCGTAAAAACTCTCAAACAGCTGACGAGCAGACGTTCACCCGTCGCCCACCGTCGAAATTGCACCCGAAAATTATGGTTGCGGAATCAAGCCCCGAAGTATTTTCTGCCTTGTAGCCCCGACGTTTCCGCCGTTAACCCTGTACTCCGACGTTCACCCATCTTCTACCCGTCGAGATTACTTAGCAAATCCCAGGCATCCTTGGCAATACACCCCTCGCCGCGCCTCCATGTCACAATATCAAACCCTTTCGGGGGTCTACCGAATAGACTCCGAAATTCGTGGTGGAGTGATGTACGGGCTCAGCCTATCAGTAGCTTGAAGCGGCACCCGCAACTTTCCATCCTTTTTTAATAATTTTCACCCCACGACAATTTCGCTTGCCGCCGTTCACCTAGCGTCCGCTTTTGTCGGATGAGGTATTCTGCGTGTTGACCCGCGATTTTTCTGGCTTTCGATGAAGGCGCGAACGCAATCGTAGTCGGAGCGAGTTTATCATATCAAACTCTCAGCCGGCCGCTTCGCTGCCCACCGTGCCTATCGCATTTAAAACTCCGCAGCTTCGGGAACTCCATCTCGCTGCTATATCGCCGTTGGGTAGACCGTTGAATCTGGAGAAACACCGCCAGCTGCCACAATTTCTTCAGTCCCGACTTTTTCGGCAGGGGATGAGAAAATGAAGAACGAGAATGGGTGAACTATGAAATGAAGTGAGTACAAATAGGAAACCCTAATTGGGTTGTACCCCTTATGGGATACCCCACTATAGCCTACACAACAGCATAAGCTATATAATGTTCTGACACACCCCCATAGGCAAAGTGGGGGAGAACAAGGGGTCACAAGACCAGTCAAGCAAAGCAGAGCAAGCTCAGGGTGGATCACAAAGTCACCACACAGTCCGAGCACAACGACAAGGCCACAAGGCCAGTTCACATGCAGGAGTACACATATATATATAGAGCTAGACAAGCAAGAGCAGGTATATATATGTAACAGTACAAGCAAGGTCAAGAAGAGAGCAAGTGAGGCAAGACAGGTACAAGACCCAGCTGGGTGCAGAAGCGCTGATGGTCACAAGGCGCAAGTGCCTTGGTGAACACATCAGCAGTGTTGGCCTCAGAGGCCACGTAAGCAAGTCGCAACTGACCACGCTGCTGCAGCTCACGAGCAAGAAAGTAACGGAGAGCAATGTGCTTCGTTCTGTGCTCCAAGCGCTGCTCTCGACACAAGGCCAGCATGGCCTTGTTGTCTACGTACAGCACTGGAGGAGAACGAGGCGGCTCTCCAAGGTCAGTCAGCAGGTAGGTGAGCCAGCGAAGCTCCTGTGCAGCCATGGCCCCGGCGTAGATCTCAGCCTCACAACTGGAGCTGAGAACAGAGGACGAGCGAGTAGCCCGCCACGAGACAGAGCCGGAACCAAGACTGAAGGTGTAACCCTGCGACGACCGCTGTGTAGCCTGGTCGTCTGCCCAAGAAGCGTCCGCGTGCCCAGTGAGGACCACTGGACTCCGCCCTCCAAGCACTAGCCCCATGCCCGACGTACTGCACAAGTAGCGCAACACCCTCTTAGCTGCAGCCATGTGCTCTGGTCGGTGTCTCCCAGGAGCAACATAGCGTGCAAGAATGCTAAGAGGGTATGCAAGGTCAGGTCGTGTGCAGGTCATCAGGTACATGAGGCAGCCAACAAGCTCTGGGTACGGGCCACTCGACTCTACGGACTCATCCGAAGGCAGAGCTGAGAGCGAGTGGCGAGTAGACAGAGGAGTGGCCTGAGGCGAGGAGTACGTGAAGCCGAAGCGCTGAAGGACCTGCTGCACCATGTGTGACTGAGTCAAGGTAATGGTGCGGCGTGCTCTGTCCCGAGTGATCTGCAAGCCAAGGTAGCTGCGCAGTTCACCCAGGTCTGTGCACGTGTGTCTCTTCTGCAGCTCGGACTTCACGTAGGCTAGTCCAGCAGTGTCAGCTGTGGCAAAGACCAAGTCGTCGACGTACACGAGGACGTAGAACGGCGGCAAAGAAGTGTCGGTGCGCAGAAACAACGACGGGTCAGCAGTAGAGGGAGCAAACCCAAGAGCCGCAAGCGTAGTCCTCAGTGTGTCGTGCCACTCACGCGGTGCCTGGCGGAGACCGTAGACTGGCCGTCGGAGGCTCCACTGGGTGCCAGGAGGAAAAGTCCCAGTGAAGCCAGGTGGACGGCGCAGCCAGATCTCCTCGTGCAGGCTACCCTGCAAGAAAGCAGTACTGAAGTCAAGAGAGTGGAGCTCGTAGTCGCGCTGAGCGGCTATGTGCAGCAGCACCCGAAGAGTGGTCATCTTCGGGGTGGGAGAGAAGGTCTGAAAGTAGTCAACTCCCTGCCGCTGACTGAAGCCACGAGCGACGTACCGCGCCTTGAAGACAGGTGGAGAGCCCGGCGGCCGCTTCACCCTGAAGATCCACATGCCACTGACGATGTTCGCCCTAGGAGGGGGAACCGCGTCAACGTAGGTGCCTGTGGACTTCCAGGACGCCATCTCTGCATCCATAGCTGCCTGCCACTGAGAGGAGTAGGGACCCTCTACGGCCTCCGCGTAAGAGCGCGGAGTCGGGATGTCTAGTGCATCCGGGTCTCCCTCAGGGGCAAGTAGTACGGACGCGAGATGAGGTGAAGCAGCAGCCAGACACCGGAACTCCTCCTGCCTGTCCTCAAGGACGTCCGTGCCAAGAGCACACTCACCCCCGACGGA